CAATGTGCTCAGAGAAAACGAACTACGCCAAGTAGAAAACTCTGACGAAAAGGAAAACGGAGAAGAAGAGAGTAAGAGCCGATCAGAAGGAGGGAAGGCAGAGAAAGGACGAAAGGTTCGTACAGGAATGAAAAGGATTGAGCGTCCGTGTACGAATGCCAACGTATTTCTCGATAAGGAAAGACAGAGGGAAAGAGAAAGAGGGAGAGCTACTCCAAGTTGGAGATATCCCACGAATTCGTTCGTAGAGTCACAATGGAAAGCGCAATACAGATTCCAGTCGGAGAGTTCGCTTCGTTCGAGCGACTCTCGACAAACGTACCAACGGATTCGAATTTCAATCCGAGAGAAGGAGACTCTACGAACAAAACGTCAAATACGCCGTGATTTTATTTGCAAATCTACCGGAAGCTCCGTCCGGTTGCACTTAAATTTTCTCTTAACGACGTTTTTGAGTTTAAACCAAGCCTTAGGAAGAAGATTCCGTTTGTTATAAATAAATGTCGTTATTTTTGCAAGACGATGATCCTCAGAGATATTAGGAGCAGTTCGATTACTCTCTTGTACATAAATAATAGGTGGTAATTACGATGATACCGACGCGTCACAATTTTCCTTTCACCGAACGCTAAAGGTTCTCTCTCTTGACTCTTGCTTCCTCGTTCCTCGCTCTGCTCGATCTTTTCTGAAGTAGACAAACGATTGTCGAGGAAAATTCAAAGAAGGATACGAAAAAAAGGAAAATGCGTGTTGGTCGAACGCGAGAAAATCCATTCGAATCTTCGGCACGTTCTCGAATCGGCCGAATCCATTTCGAAACGTCACGTTCCACGGTCCAACGCGATACATCCGAATTGCATCCTCCATGTTGCATGGCATATTCCGTGTTCGTTCTTAACATAATTCTTTCGAGAGCCACGAGAATGTATACCTAGTCGAAGGAATCCAAAGCGTTAGAAAGAAATGATGCCTAATGTAATTATGCCTTACGTTTCGCAGGTCCACCGATTTGTAAGCAGTAAGCTCGATGTATTTGGCAACTATCCGTTCGGTTAAATCAAAGCGTATTCCAACCACGCTTATCTCTCTCGTATATCGTTTCGAAGCGTTTCGATGCCATACCGGTGACTCCAGCTATGTTTTTTCCTCTGTCTTCCTCCTCCTCTTCATCGTCTCACTCATTCTAGTGCTTTTTATTTTCATTTCCTTCCTCTTTTAGCTTCGGATCGAAAATTCATGTTACGGAGGCCCAAGAAGTAATTCGAGCATTCGAATTCCAGACGCGCAAACGTGTGTATATATATATATATATATATATATATATATATATATATATACGTATGGAGAAGAAAGGAAAAAAGGGAGAAAAAAAGGGAGGAAGAAATACCTTGGCAAGAGTTCGAGTATGAAAGAGAACAGGGATATATTTCGACAAGGCATACCGAGAGACGAAGGGAAACGTACGGAGAAGGTGGAAGTTGGAAGAAGGAAGAAGGAGGAAGACGGACGAGGGGCCGAACGAGGGGCCGAGCGAGGGACCGAACGAAACTGACAGCAGCCTCTGTCCGGACTCTCAAGAGAAAGAAGACCGATAGAAAGGAACAGGTTGAAGTTGGGTCACGAGATACTTCAAGACCTATCCTCCCCTCCCTCTCTCCTCTTTTTTGTCTCACATCCCCGTTTTATTGAGATTCTTCAATAGGTAGGCGTCAGTTGTCCTCGATTGAAATAATCTCTCAAAAGTGTATAAACCCCAACTCGAAGAATCGATTAATAATATTATTAAAAAGGACGCGTGAGAGATTCATTCCTGCGAGTTTGTAAATTTCCAAAATAAACGATAAAGAAAGAAGGAAAGGAGCACGAGAGATGGAATACATTGACCCGAGAGTCCGTGCCGTGAGAAAGCGAGAGCGAGAGAATGGAAGGAAAAGAAAGAGAAGCGCGCAGTCGCTAGCCTTCTCATTATCAGCGAGGTCGGACAAGACGTTTTGCAGTAATCCAGAGGAGAGTTCGAGTCGTGACAACGGTGAAATATGTAGCCAAGGTGGTGCAACGAAGCGCGAAAGAGAGCGACGAGAGAGAAAGGATGGATTCGAAAGGACTGCCGCCGCCGAGAAGAGGATCGCAGAGCTTGTTGAGAGCCCTCCCGCCCTCCTTGGTATAAACCGAGGACGCGAGAGGCCCCGTGGGACTGCCGAGCCACCCGGCTCCCCCACCACTCCCTTTCACGGATCCGAAAGCAAGAATCTAGGACTCTTTCTCGTCCTCGTGCACGCGCACACTTCAAACGTGTGTAGGTACATGTATGTATAGCTGTACACCTCGTCCGAGTCGTGGCCAAACCCAATTCTTTCCTCTTCAAAAGTCGTTGCATCACACGATCCTTCTTCTACAGGCCGGCCCGACCTGAGAGCCGCGGTGCATCGCGATGCAATTCTACCCGTTTCTACACGCTATATTATTAATCTTATTGAGGAGATTTGACGACGTCGAATGACGATGAGATCGTCAAGTTGTAATATGATGTAAAAGTAAAGTTAGAAAATTGGAACATGGAAGGATTCGATAAAGATCAAACGATTTGAAAACACGTGTTTGGAAAAGAAGCAGACTCCGCGAGTAGGAAAAGGAAACGAAACAAGAGAAGAGTCCAACGTCCAGCAGGAGTAACCCTCCGAACAAATACATCGTGTAATCCGACGAACACTCCCTGTTATTTCAGGTACCTTCTCTCCTCTACCCCTTTCCCTTCGACCCCAAACGAGCATGTTCGCATTTTCCCTCGTCGATCGGATTATCGTAAGCACTATTTCAAAAGGGTTTTCCCGTGAAGAAAAGGAGAAAGAGAAAAGGCAAAGCAGCGATTGAAGAGTTTTTATTGCTCGTTGGGTGTTCTCGACGAGGTAACCTCGCATGCTTTTCGCCTTCTCCTAATTTCCACTCGAGCGTGATGATCCCGTTCGACTCTATTTCCAGCGCATCAAACAGCCGCTGTCCATTCTTTTCCTTGTATTTTCCAAGCGAAATTGGCCACAGTAGCTCCGACGGAAGCCCGAACTATAGACTTTTTGAAGCTAACCGCATCGTCAGTACGGCTTTTAATGGTCGGAGCCACGAAACCTGGCTCCGAAACTAGGTATATCTCCCTGCCGACCGACCGAACAAAATTCTTTCATCGTCGATTAACTTCCAAACCGGACGTTACCGCGTGACCGCTAACGAAGCCGCGCAATTATGAATTCCCTATGAACGGGATATGTCTCTTATTACATCTTTTTTTCTTATTTCATACCAAGAAACCGTCAGCTCCGTCGACGCTCATTTTTTCCTCGAGACTGGATCCAAATTCTTTCCAGAGACAGAATTTCAGGAGACCATCGGTTCTTTTTACCTTCATTTTTAATTGAATCAAAGTAAGCAAAAGGGCTCTTACTAAACTTATCTATAAATGGAATCGAGCTCTAAATTCGATGTATTTCTCTCTCTCTCGAGAGAGAGAGAGGGGAAAAATATATTTAAACGAAAAAATTGAACGAGTTCACTCGATCCTTAACGATGTAACGAATATTTACGGTCGTTCTACGTAGAAACAACTTAATCTCGTAGATGCTCGCGTTTCCGTAATATCTTTCTCTTCCTCTTTAACTCTTGTGCCAGTAAATACGAACTCGAATCTAATTCTACGCACAAGGAAAACTCGCCGTCAAATGCGGCTAGTTTCGCCGCTTTCAACTTTGCTACTCATCAACGTCAACTAATTTATATCGTCGATATGGTTGGAACTCTCTCTGATGTTTTCACAGAATTTGTCGACGAATATGTAGCCTAGTATTACGTCGTGGTTTAGGTGTAAGCCACCTACCTGTGTTATAGATTTTTTGTCCTTTTGTAATCATCGATACCAAGCTGATCGTTAGAGATACAATATTTTCAATCCATATTCGGTAACAAAGTTACTAATTAAACAAACTTTTATCTCCAATGAAAATAATATTTATTAATCGTAATCATTTTCCAAACGTTAGAGCACGTTCATGTATGAAGATGAAAACAGGGTGTTACGCAATAACGCCAATATTATCTCGTGTAAAATCTATCTTTCTCTTATTCCCGAAGAAGACTAACCTTTTGAGGCTCGACTACGATCACGGTAAACAAACGGAACGTAATCCGAAGCGTTTTTCGGCACGAGCATCCTGTACAAAGTTCGCCCTTTTCTTTACTCTTGTGAATAAAACCCTGACACGAGAGAAACCATGCTGGACGATCGAGAACAAAGACGCACGTTTCTTTCGAGGAAGACCGTTTATTTATTTCTTTATCTTGAACTCTCGAGCGGATATACCGACACTGAATGGTAACGCTATGGTGTATACAAGTTTTCTTCGATTTCAAATCTAACGCGTTAAAATTTCTTGTTTTTCCTACAATATTTCTTACTGAGATCCGTTAATCTGTTAAAAGTATAATTAAAGAAGATGACAATATAATTGTCATTGTAAATGATTTTAGGAAATTGAAATCCTCTGCAATTGTTTATGCAATAGGGAACAGGATGAATTCCACAAGTGTTACTGCCGAAAACTCGGACGAAACGCTTGACCTAGCGAATGAATTATCTTATAGGATGGCACGAAACAACTTGTTCGTACTTTTATTACGGTTACATTAAAATACCAGTCATATAAGTTAACGGTTACATTTATGTCCTTTAATCAAATCTTCTCGACTAAACTCTTCCCGATTAAACTTTCTTATTGCGTCTCGAAAGTTCTTATATTCGAGAGTTATTATTCGAAAATGAAGGATAAATCGAGCTAGACTTGTTTAATCTTATAACAAGTACGTTGAAACAAAAAAAAAGAAGAAAAAAATAAAAAAAAAGTCGATTAAGAAAGATGGAACGTTTTCTTTGAAAACCCTCATCGCCTCAATTCTTCGACGTTTTCTACAAGACGAAGAAGAAGGAAAATAAAATCGTAAAGAATTCGACTTACCCACAAAAGAACGGCGTGGTAGTTCTCACGAAGAGCGGAAGATGAGGAACACTTGGAAGGAACTCGATAGAGCTGCAGGCTCCGCTTGCTTTCGCGTCAAACGCGAAAGCGAAGGAGAGAGATTCGGTGCGGTTTGGGGGGGCAAATTCAGTCTCGTACGCCCCCCCAATCTTAAGTTTCGATCCACCGGAAGCTCTATGCAACCCCTTCACTTCGACGCCGCCGACGACGACGACGAAAAGAACACACACACACACGTACACGCACCCACTCGACTGTACACTCTTTTTTTATAATCAAACTGCTCCTCTCTTTCCTTCTTTCCGTTCTTATTTACCTTTTAATCTTTATTATCCTTGTTCAAGCACAAGAATTTTATCGAAATCGATGAAAAACAATTAATTGATTAATATACAAAATTGGTCAAAATGATTATTTTCAAAAATCCTTCGTCGACTTTGGCTGGCATCGCGTTAAAATAAGCTCTCTTCTCTCGCAGTACCAAAGGCTTTTTCTTTTGCTTTTATTTTTCTTTCTCCTCTATTCTTCCTCGTCTTCTTCTTCTTCTTCTTCTTCTTCTACTTCTTTTTCTTCTTCTTTAGCAAGGACACACGCGACACGACATCTATCTATCTGATTTATATACCTATCCTATCCTTCCTATCTACCTATCTACCTATCTACCTATCTACCCATCTACTTATCTATCTATCTGTCTATCTATCTATACATCCATCTATCTATCTATCTATCTAACTAACCTATCTAACTATCTATCTAAGTATATCTCGTTCCGAGTCGCGCGAGCAGACCTTTTAAACGCGCAGAAGCATCGCGAGTCTTCGATTCCTCCTCGTTTCTTCTTTTCTCTTCTTTGAGAAAAAAGTCGAGAAAAGAAAAGGAAGAGTTTCCTTCTATTTCTCTTTGCCGGATTATCCTTGAACCAAGATTCTGCTTTCGTACCTGCAAATCAATTCGATTAGACTATTATTTATTCTTGATCATCATTGAAACGCAGAATGGATTATTATCATAGTTCTCGAGTGATTGTAACTCTTTACTATTCGTAACTATTTTTATTCGTTTGTCGAGTTAAAAGTGTGTGTGTGTGCGTGCGTGCGTGCGTGCGTGTGTGTGTGTGTGTGTGTGTGTGTGTGTGTGTGTGTGTGTGTGTGTGTGTGTGTGTGTGTGTGTGACTAATTATTATAGACAAAAGTAATTTATTTTTTTAGACCTGTATAGAATTTGATAAAAAAGTGAACTTAAAAACTTTCTAACAAAATGATAGGAATTTGTTTCTTACGCTGTATTAATTTACTACTTTATAAATCAAATAATATATTGCTCATTATTTCTCCGTTTCAATTCAAAGATTTCAAGTTACGCGTATCACTTTAGGGATTGATTTCATCCCTTTGAGAGCGATCCGCAAGACCAAATGAAATATTATATATCATTATTCACATTTTCTGTGCTACGATATAATCTCACAAAGCTCCATTGAAATTAATGATTTTGGACTTGCCTGTAACCAGAACGAACCGAATAATCGAGTCGACTAATTAATATTATCGATTCTACGTCGTTAATCCGTAGGATTTTCGTCGAAAAAAGACACTTTAGCCAATTGTACAGAAATCTTGTAAAGTTGTACAAAAACTCGACACTATTTCTAATTTAGAATAATTCCTCTGTATTTCATTCGCATTATTTACACGTACGAAATGCGAAACATCTCGTAATTCGTCAGTAATGTATCAATAAAATATCAAGAAAAATGAAGATAATGACGAATGGTTTCCGTCTTTGTCTCGTCTTTGCAACCTTGTCCTTTAGCACACCTCGTCGATTCTAACAGCGATAGGAACGTCGATAGGAACGTCGACACACACAGATCTTTTCTCTTTTATCTTGGAAGATCCCTTTCTCCTTGGCAAGTCGCTCCTTACTCTAGCGGTCACCCACGCTTCATACGAGATTTCTCGGCGTGTTCAAGTTATTTCGATCTATCTCTCTTGTATTCTTTTTACTTTTCCCATCTTATTGTACAATAAATACACGCGATTGCGACGTATTTCCAAATTTATTCAAATATTGATTAGAATTCCAGAGCTCGTTAGATTTGATGTCTTCGCGTAAGAAAAGAACTTTAACAATCACGTTGACGAGAGTGAAACGTTTCATCGATAATTTTCAATTAATGAAAAAACGATAATCCACGCGAATCTCAGTTGGAGAGAAAAGAAAAACGTACAGCGATCGCGAAATGAAACGAACGCGTAGTTCGATTATCTCATCTACCTATCTACCGATCTATGAAAAAATATAACGATCATGTTTCGTCTTGAAAAAGTTTACCGCGAAACGTTTACCGAGATCGTTCCTCTATTTTAGGGGAACAAGAAAAAAACAAGGAAAAACATGGAATAGACTAGAAAGAAGGCATCGATGCGTGCACAATCGTTACTAATTGTTTAGACGTCATAGAAATATTATGCAAATTAGTATATCGGATCCATTCCACGGAGATTGAGCGATTCGAATTCGGCGCCTTTTCTACCCTTAAAGCTTCTCCGTAAAAGATAAGAGGGGGCGCGAAGAGCGAGGGTGCAGAAAGGGTCGCGCGACATCGAGGTTAGGGGCGGCGAACCCTTGCTCTCTCTCTCTCTCCCTCTCTCTCTCTCTCGTACATTGTCATTCGCTCGCAGTTTTTTGGTTTCACGCTTACCGGCCGGGTTAGTTCCTATTCTTCGGTCCTTGTTCCGTCGTATTGTTCGTGAACGGGTCCGGCGGTGACTAGGTCCGGTAGCAGGGCGCTTCGATTTGCCGGGGGAGCCGCACGCCTCGCTGCTAAAATGGCGATCGAAGTGACAGCTTTGGCCCCGTCGCCCCCTCCTATCGCCGACTCCTATCGCCGACTCCGAGAGCACCTTGGCCACCCCTCTAGCTTTCTTCGAAGCGTGCTTACGCACGCCGGTTCTCTTTCTTTCACTCCGACTCCGTATACATATTTTTCTCCCTTTATCCCTCTGTCAGTACAATCACACTTTCTCCGTTCATCAAACGCGTATCTACTAATAATTTTCACATCCTCCTAAATTCACTTTCCCTCTCTTTTGTCCTCGACAAAGACCTTCACCCTCCTTTTCCTCTCCTTCTCCTCTCCTTCTCCTCTCCCTCTCTGAGAAGAAGAATATATGAAATGTCGCGATTTCGCGAAAACTCGCGACGAAGAAAAGGACCCCCGCGTAAGAAGGTGTGTCGCGAGAGGACGGACGAGCCAAAAGTCTTGGAAACAGCGACGACGTCTCGTCGTTTCCTCCGTGGGATGGCGGCTCCGATCTCTCTCTTCTTCTCTCCCCCCCTCTCACTCTCTCTCTCTCTCTCTCTCTCTGTCCCGGACGACGCCTACACCAGCACCTCGCGCGTACCACACCACCACCACCACCACCACCACCGCCACCACCGCCACCACCACACCGCCACACCACCTACGGTAAAAGAGACAGAGCACCGTGCTTGCCCGGACTCACGGGACTCGACTGGGCTACGCCAGGCAGGGATACCCTCATTCCCGTTCCTGTTCCCGTACCCGTTCCCGTTTCCGTTCCCGTTCCCGTTCCCGTTCCCGTTCCCGTTCCCGTCCCCGTCCCGTTCCCGTTCCCGTTTTCGTTCCTGTTCCCGTCTCTTGTACTCTCTCCCCCTGTGGCGCACACGCAGCAACAAAGCGCCACCGGCTACCCTCGCGCCGAACAAATCTACTAACCGTCTCGACACTTTTCGCCCAACCCCGGCACACAATATTACTGTCTTCTTTAATGACGTTGTTCCTTGCCCTTCCAACCTCCCACGCCCGCTATCCAACCAATTACGTACGCTCCCGCTCAGGCACGTAACCGATGCTGCTAACTCTATTCCCTAATTGGTGTGTTACGATTTTTTAATAAATACCTAATGTTTTTCTATAGTTTACTATAAAAAAGACTCGATAAAATGCTTGTGGAAGGAAAAGCTTGAAAAAAGGACTGTTTCAATTGTTTTCAATGTAAACAAAATGTCGAGATTAATCTTACAATTAGAAGATTCGAGGAATATTTTTCGAATTTCAATGCTATTCGTAGATGCTTTGATTAAAATCGGTCACCCTTAATATCAAAGAACGGAACAGACACGATCTTCTTGATGACTACGATGAAGCACGCGTTACTAGCAGGTGTAAGCGACCGAAAAACTTTAATGATCCGCCTTTCATATGGTGTACCACTCGTCGCGCTTTTCGAGCTTGCCTGAATCGATTGGAGAGAGCATCGTTTATTTATTCGTATCGTCGGAAATAAATTCATGTGGAATGCAGACTTTTTTTTACCGATTTTTCGCGGTAAAAGAACTGACAAGGAGAAACCGCGACTTGTAATTTTTAAGCGTTTGTGAAACGTTTTTGAAAATGTCGCGGGTTCTCCTTGTGGGATTTGGAACGAGTCGAATTTCTCTTTGAGATCGTTTCGAATGAATTTAAAGAAAGAAAAAGAAAAGAGGAGACAAAATCTCAATAGCGGTCAGGAATTTTCATTTAATTCGTGTGTAAAGTACACTAAATATTTCAATAAATAAACGAGAAAGAGAATAAATCGAATCGCTGGAGATACGATAAAAGAAAAATGTTAACGGTGGAGACGAAAAGAGCAAAGATTGAAAAGAAAAAGGAGGGAATGACGCGGGGGTCCCTTGGGGCCCCCCTCGGAGTCACAAGAGTCCTTGAGCGGGTGTACGCACGCGTTCGAGAAGTCGCAATTAACCTGCGGACCTCGATCGTTAGAATTTCTTGGCGGTGTCGAGAGGTGAATCTTCTTCTTCTTCTTCTTCTTCTTCTGAGAATAGCCGGCCTTATATAAAAGCATGTACTTTACAAAGGTCGTATCAAAAAGATGAACGTGTTAGGACGAAAATCGTGTCTCTGCGACGTCCCACCTAAACGTTGAATGCAAATTAAGTTTGTGTTTAGAGATTTGCTTTTCTCTTGACGTCGATGACACAAAATGACTTCTACTTTGATATTAGTCACGCACCTTATATAAGATAATACGCAATTTTAAGCAATTGAGTGCATCGACAAGCCAATTACAAGCGAAGAGATGCATTCCTAACGATCCCTTGATAGGTCTTCTTCTTATCTGTCAATCTGCCTATCTAACTCACCATCGGCCAATTAGCTCGATAACGTGGCGGAATAACTAATTGTATATAATGTATCTAATTGTAGGTACTTTTTATTTTAGGCCAAATCGACCTTACTGAAATAAGTATAATCGTTCAAATAGACGAGGCAAAAGATTTTTCTCCTCTGTCGTGAAATAAGAGAAGAGCAAGTTTTGCGATCTTTCTTTTCGATAAGAAGAAAAGGCGATGCGGTTGCAAGGCAGGCTCTCGGTACTCATACATTGTAATACTAGCCATTACATGGATCCGATCTATACGACGAGATCCAATAACAATGAAATTCTACAAGATAAAGAATAAAGGAGGGAACATTTGGAAGAAATTTCCAAAGTTACTCGTACGTTCGCAAAAGTTTCATTTTTCATTTAACCTTTTGTAAAAGCTAGCGATAAAAATCAAGCCGAGTTAGCCACTGGACGCTAATTTTCGTTATTTGCTCGTATAGTCTGTTTAATTTCATTCTGGGACCGCCGACACGCTAGGGATCAAAGTTCTACCGTGCAAGAGAAAGAGATAGAGAAAAAGAGAGACAGAGTTGGAGAGGAAAATATATCAGAGGCCCATGTTCCGCGGCGCGTAATTGAGTCTGTAACAGCGTCCAAATCAGCGCGACGACCAATCATTATATTACCCCGAGTCTCGTTCTCTTCTCTCGTCGTTCGAATGTCTCTCTCTCTTTTTCTCGTCGATTGACGTTCGTTAGTCAGAGCTGCCCTGCAATAGTACCGGTTAAGCTTCAGCTTTGTAGTTAAAGCACGAAACTAACGTTTACTACACCTAACAAACGCGCCTTCCATCTCGCCTTCATCTCTATTAACGAGAATAACTATTCGAGTTGTCTTTGCTCGCATTACCTAAGCCATCCAATCGCGAAACATTTTTACCGTGTTTTTCATAATCAAGTATTACATTGTCAACGGACATTAGTTGTTTCTAAATCTATAATGCTTTACATTATTTTACTCGAACGTTATTTCATCAAAAACATGAAATTTTTATATTACCTAATATTTTTCTTCTTCTTTGTCCTTTATATTGCTGTCAAAGTAGAAAGATATTCATTATCTGTGGACTAATAATACGTCTTCCTTATAATAATCATGATTCTTCCCCGAAATACGGGCGATGCGATAGGTAGTTAGATAGATCGATTACACTTCCTTCGAAACTACGTACTAAACAAGCTTCGTAGGAAGTACGCTAGCAATTAGTTCGATAGTACTTGTGTATTATCTTACAATATCGTTTAATGAACTTTACGACGTAAGTAATATTAACTACCGGAGTCTCCTGAGAGAGAAAGAGAGAGAGGGAAAATTGTTTCTCATACTTACGGTGATTTCAAGTGATCTGGAAAGGAGGAATTTTGTATCGAAAGCAAATTTCTATTAAACGCTTACAACTATGTGTGACCGATATAGATCGTAATTTTATCAGTAAAAAATTAAAAAAAAATAATATTTGTGCGATTACATTCCCCTCTCGATTGGCTTCGCTCTAGATTATATCACGTGGGCGTTACTAATATCAAGTTCAAGTACAAGTTCCGTCTTCTCTTCAAGCAAGTATCTACTTACACACATCTATACATATACATATACATATACATTCCGATTCGATCGATTTTCTACCGGTAGAAGTTTCAAATCCGAACGGTTAGCACGACGGTGCTAAAGATCCTTCATTGTGATATCTATCCCTTTGGATAGACTTCGAGAGAGAAAAACCTATATATTTACGTATAGTATAGTACGTCGAAAATAGGATTGTTCAAGGCCGGATCGTTAGCGAGTCCATAAGATCAAAGATAAAACGTATAGTAGATAAGTATTATATTTAGGTTCGTAAATAGGTAGATATTGTTCGACAACTCACATATATATGTCCGAATATCCGTCGATCCTAACATTTCTTCCTTCCTTCCTTCCTTCCTTCGACGAAATTTATTATACGTGCGTCACATCATAATCGCTTGTTTTCCGGTCAACTGATTCTTTTCATCTATAGATTTGTGGACGTGGAAACACATGCCACCTACTATGTGGGTCATGCGAACACGTATACGCTTTCTTGAAAAGACAATGAAGAGAAGGAAAGAAAAGAAACAACGATCCATCCGATAGATTGTCGAGACAACGATGATAACACCTAGTCGTTAGGTTGTTACATAAGTAAACAGTATGAAAGCGTTGAAAATGAATCGTTCGACCAAGGCCAGAGAATATAGAGAGAATAATGAGAAAATATGTGTGATGGTTGGCGGTCGTAGCGTACACGATAATTAGGTTTCACTCGCTTTGCTTTAATAATCCAAGCAACATGCAAAGTGCATCGTCGCATCGTCGTAGTCCTTGCACGGTTGGAAATACGTAGGAGGTCAAATTTGGCTGCTGTGTATACCTCGACATTAACGTTGTCGTTCGCCACTCCCTCCAGGCTCCGAAAGTCGTCGTCGTCTATCCTTGCTTCCGAAATTTTGCAAGGACACTCGAAATTATTGATGCCTACGTAATCGAAACGAAGCTCTGAATTAGCGGCGCTCCAAAACAAGACACGGACTGCGAAAAGAGAATACCAATCGAGATAATGAATATTAACTACGCTTAAACGACGACCCCGGTGCTATTATTATAATTATATTTCCTCTTTCCCTGTCCTGTCGCTTTCTCTCTACATTACAAATTTGCCATTTCATTTTCATTTATTTCAAATACATATGTTTTGGTTGGCTATAATCAAATCAATTCTATCCTAATCTCTTTACTAATTTTAAATATTATCGTTAAAGTTGAAAAAGCAAGAAATTTCGAAAGAAAGAGACTTGGGATAAATTAAATTGCCTCTTTCAAAGACACACACACACACAAGAAGATAACTAAATTAATATCTTTCTACAAAAAGTCATGTTTTTATTTTTTATTTTTTGTTTTTTCATAAGCATTGCTACGTATTTCTACGCTTGTTTATCAAATTTCGCGATATGGTCTAATGGTTAAAACTTGAAAGCTTTAGTGGTGCCTACCTACCATCGGAGAACTCGTTGTTCGTACGAATCCTCTGCTAAGGATCGTATATCAAAAGACTTTTGGTAGACTGAACCAAGTGTAATGAACTTTCCTTATCTCGTTTACTCTTCAACGGATTTTCATCTCTCTCCCACCTTTCTTTTGGTATCTTTTCATCAGGTCGAAAATATTCTCGGAAAGAGAAATACTACTTCATTATATTAAGAGAAATGTCTTTTAACGTGTGTCAAATAATCATTATATAAACTCAATTTAAAAATAAATTATAAATCACGAATGAAATTTGTTACCTCATAAAAAAAGAGACAAACATTTTTCCTAGATTTTAACATCATCTTCATTTGAGTAAATACACTCCACAAAATACATACCATTCTTGCTCTATTCTAGTAGTTAGATTAAAAAATCGTTCATATCTCGTTACAAATCAGAAAAACGAACGGACATTTATAATATGTATGAGAGAAATACTTATGATACATTCGTAGAGAGAGAGAGAGAGAGAGAGAGAGAGAGAGATTGTTACATTGTATCGCTTGAAATATAAAACGATTACTGAAAAAAGGAATATAAAAACATATTATTAACAAAGTTTTTAATCGGTAAATGTCACTTCTTNTTATAATATGTATGAGAGAAATACTTATGATACATTCGTAGAGAGAGAGAGAGAGAGAGAGAGAGAGAGAGAGAGGCGTATACATTGTATCGCTTGAAATATAAAACGATTACTGAAAAAAGGAATATAAAAACATATTATTAACAAAGTTTTTAATCGGTAAATGTCACTTCTTTGATTACAAAGTAAACCATAATTGGAAATAGGAGTAGAAGTGAAAAAGAAGAAAAATCAAATGATTAAACTGACTCGCATATTTTAAACGGACATCATATATAGATTATACACGACTGCTCGATATTATCCCCTTTTATCTCGTTCCTAAAATGAACAGGATACGTTTGTGATAGATGCTACACGCATTGTGGTAATTCGATCAAATCATTTCCGATACTCTCTTAGAGTTTTTATTATTCTTTCGACATAAGTACATATGTGCATATGTATTTCATTATTCCACAAAAATACATAAATCAAAACGAATTATTCAAAAATAACACATGCTTTAAAATTCATTTATTTCATTTATTTCAAAGAAAAAATAATGGGAGTAAATTTTTTTAGAGTTAATCTATTCAACGGACAGATTTCTTGATTTATTATTTCAAATCTCACGCACACTAACCAACGTGTTCCTGCTCAACGGAACACACGTGCTCACCACGTGTTTGTTACAAAAGACAATCTTTCGATAAAAAATGCCTGTCGGATAATTTTACATATTTGTGTGTCGTGTATTACTGATTTTCTTCAATTTGAAAACGTTACGAAAGAATGTACACATTGTAATGGTATTTTATTGTTTCAAAAATTGTTTAAAATCATTAATCATTAAATCGGTAGCTAAAACGTCAAGAATTACGTATTGAGGATTGTTAGCGTCTGGTTCTGAATTTATTACCGTCGTCCACTTATGTAACCAAATTGATGCTAAACTACCAGATTCTACTCTAATACGTTTCAATGACTTTCCAGTTGCCTTGACAACTTCTTCTTCTAACTTTAATTTTAATTCATTAATACCTATATAAAAATTGGAGAGAAATAAAGAAAATGTCAAAGATAATACTTTATAATTTTGCAAATTTACCTGTTGACTCTTTACAAGAAATAGCAATCATATCTTCATGTATATCAAACTTTTCAATAAGATCACATTTATTAGCTACACGTATTACCGGTTGTCGTTCATTTAACATAGGTCTTATTATTTCTTCTACGTATTGAAACTGTGCCTTCGCGTCGGGATGACTAACATCGTAAATATGTATGATAACATCCTGCAACATGTTATTAATAACTGTTACATCTTAAAAAATCATATTTAAAAAAAAAAACGATACGTACAGAGACTAAAGCATCTTCAAGAGTAACCATAAAAGGCGCTAATAACATTTCTGGTACATCTTGAATAAAACCTATGGTATCTATATATAAGACCTTCTGTCTAGATGGAAGTAAACCTTGGTAAGAAATTGTGTCCAATGTGGCAAACAGTTGATTCCTTGGTTTCAAGCTTTCATCTTCTGATAAGATTTTTATTAAAGACGACTTCCCAGCATTCGTATATCCAACCACAGCAATGCTTGGAAAACCATAATTTTTCCTCCGATTTCTACTGCCTTTTCTAATTTCCTTTAATTTGTCTAATGCTCTTTTTAGTTTAGATTCACGAGCTTTCAACATTTTTTTCCTACTTTCCTCAAAATTAATTTGACCACTGTGTTGTTCATAAACTTCACCCATTTTCTTCCAAATATATGGCAATTCGGCCAAAGCTACCTGTAATAGAGCTTCAGGCGTTTTAGCATGTTGACGAAATATATGGATAATTATTGAATATCGATCATAAACAGGCAAACCTAAAATATTTTGAAGTTCCATTCTTTGTACGTGTTTTAACAAATTTATACTAACGAATACAGCTGTTATTTGTTTGTTTTGTTGAATTGTTTTCACAAGATTGTCGAGTCCACCTGAACCCAATAAATTTTTCTTTTTAAATGAGAGCAAAGGAGCAAACGCTTTATCTATTACGTTCCAATACAATAAAGTTTCTACGAGTGCTACAGATTCAGCCATTTGCAATTCAGGCCTGGTATTTCTTTTTTTATCTTTACCCCATTTTATATATGGTTGCAATAGAAAAACTTTGTGCCCACCAGCTATCACTCCTAGGTACTGATTAGAAATCACTTTGTACGCTTCTTTCTCTTCTTTGCTTTCAATTAATCTCAATTCTTCTGAAGTATGTTTAAATTTACATACAATTTTCATACATACCGATGATTCTATTTTTGTATGCTTTACGTATATATTATTGTATGCCTTTAGCAAACTTTTATTTAAACGAATATGAACAAGAGATCTTAAAGTGTACATCTTCATAAGTTTTCATTAGTTGAAGTTTTATCTTTAAATAAAACTTAATCTATATGTACACTGCACCGTTAAACTGCATTTCATTCATCTGATTAAATCTTAATAAAAGGATAATTACAATATATAATAATACACAATAATTAATACACAGTACATATAACGTTTTGCAAAGACCATTTTAAATGATAAAACGAATAAACCTAACCTTTAAAACATGCATATTCAAATTTCATGAACGGAGATACATATGTATTTTATATGTTATTAGATTAATTCACTCGACACTAGAATAATATTCGTTAATTGTTCTCGTTCTTGTCATTTTCTATATTTCTACATTTCCATTTATTTCTACAATATAACACGTCGCGTTTCTATCTTATATCAAGAAAGGAAACTGAGGGTGCGTTCCACTAAGCGCTCACACATCAAAATGCTCCTTTAGTCGTTCCACATACGGTGCGTTCCACTAAGCGCTACGATCGCGGTCGTTGTGGTCGCGGCGAAAACGTCACTCATGACGTCATTACTAACGCTCACGCGAAGCTCACAACGACCCATCTGAAAACGTGGGTCGTAGTGAGCGTTGAGAAAATTAACGGTTTTTTCGAAACTGACAACAATAAAAATGGCGACCGTGAAACTGACATGAAGGATTACAGATTAAATCTTAACCTCTTTAATCTTTTACTTTCTTTTCACTACCTCGCCATTTGTATTATTACCTCCACGCTCAAAACGCACCATAGTCCATTCCACTTGAATTTACGACAGTAACGCTCGTAGGTAAGTGGAACGGGAGAAACTGTGGTCGTGAGCGCTTAGTGGAACGCACCCTGAGATAAATGAATTTTCCTGCATTTCAATTGGTGAAAAATATAATGTGTATCAGCCTTTAGGATAGCGGTTCGCTACTTAAAAACCAGACAGACAGACTATTTCTCACTTCTTTGACAATGACATTACGGAGAATTGCGATTGATCGTAATCAAACCCACTTCTGAAAAACTATATTTTCTTTTGCTTGTACGTAAATATATTATAATATAGTAGGCATTTCATTTGATTACGATGAAAACGTAATTTTATTCTTATCTTGTTTTTTAATTATTATGGCGTTCTTGTAAATATTCTATTTAAGTTTTAAATTTCTTTTTAAATCAAGTTGTTCATTATATATCATCTTATGTCGTCTTATATCGTCATATTTGTATCATATCTATTCGAAGCAGTTCATGCAATGTAATTCATTATTGTTTTTTATTATTTATATATTTAATTGTTATTTATAGTCAATTATTTCTTATCTAGTAATTTATCTAGTAATTTCTTACTTGCCATTTCTACTGACAGCTATTGATAAGATTTCATCCATCCATGTATTATCTTAGAATCAACATAATTTCATTTAATTATTTTTATTCTGGACTAATTTAGATTAGATTGTGTAATTGCAGTTGGATGTATTTAAGGACTGAAAGATGGATTCGCAAAAACAAAACCATTCATCCGATATCGTTGATGTTAGTAATGCATCAAGTTTAGTATCCAAAAGCGATTTCGAAAGTCTTGGTTTTGTAATTGACAATGGCAAACCCAGATTTAAATTGGATGAACCTGTATCCACAAATTTCTTTTCAAAAGTTGATTTAACTAAATCAGAAAATTCTCTTGATGACAGCAATACGTTATCATTTGTCATACTGGGAAAGAAATCGTTAGATTCTATACAAGCATCATCTATAGCAACGTACAGCGATATTCAACAAAAATGCATGTCCATTGTACGATAAAAATCTTTGAAATTTATTAATTCATTTATTAATGTGCCATTTCGTTCAGAAATTTTAATAATATTTACCTTTTTTGCAGGATTATAATTCAATAATATCATCTTTAAATTCTTCCGAGATACAACAAAAGTTAACAGAATTATTACAGGAGAATGTCAAATTAAAAGAAACGTTAAAACAAAATACTATAGCTATGAAAAAACAATTTAATACTTTGGCAATATGGCAAGAAGAGGTAATGAATGTTCACAAAAATCACAAGCAAAAGTTTACAGAAACCAGACAATTGATTAATCTGCTTAAAGAAGAGAATGCTGAATTGAAATTAAAACTTTATGTAAGTAATATATACTTGGAAATTATTGAACTATTAATATTGAGGGTTCATGTAGAAAAGGCTACTATTTTTTATATTAATTTTCAATTAGTTTTCTTAATTATAATCACAATATACAATGAGTGTCGCTTAAAATCGTATACCTATCAGATTTTTATTTGAAAACTATTGGTATAATGTGTTTAGGATGAAGATAATTTAGAAATAAATACATTGGTATACCTTTATTACATATTTAATGAATTGTATTTGAAAGGATTATTTATAACAAGAAAAATTCAGCAAATACGAAAATAATGTGCAAAAAATTATTAATATACTTGAAATATTAAATAATTTCGATCTGATATTTTATTAAATGAAAATTTTCAACTCAAAGTCATCACTTGGCAGGAAACATATGTGTTTTAAAATGCATGTATGTTAAAACATATGCACTTCGGTTTAAACAATCCAAAATATTAGTAGAGTAGATTAATGTGTTCGATATACCTTAAATGATTGTTAATTAATCAAAGGAAATGCATATTGTAGTATAGAAGCACGAAGTATAGGTTCAACGCACCATCCTCTTTGAAATCTAATATTAAATTGGTTCATTGTCCCTTATGAAAGTCAGTCCTAATTCTTTTATTGATTGTAGTTTATATTACTTTCCGAAGACTATAACGACAATAATATTCGTATAATAAACAGAGAATTTAAGATTGTAATCTTATTATTTTAACATTCTGTAAACGTTTATATAATTGTTAAACTGAAATACATTTGGTTTAAATTAAGATTATATTACACATAAATACAACGTTAAAACGTTAGATAGAAAATATTTACTTCTAACAATTAAAAAATAAAAATAATCAATAGATCTATTATTCTAATTTCTTCAATTAATAGACAATAAATACTTTGTACAGAATGTTAATGCTGATGATACAACAGATGGTACAAGGGAATTTAATCATTCGATTATAAAGAAATTTTGTTATTCAATTACTAAGGAATTTGGTGATTCTATTAATATAAGTCACTTACAAGAGAAAATAGCCTCTTTGACGGATGAACTAAATAATTTTAAATATAATTGTGCTAAATTATCTGACGATGTTGACAAATATATCAGTTTGTCAAGTTTGATGAATATACATTTGAAAAAAACTAGTAATGCAACACAAGAGCTTGATATTCAAATAAATGAACCTGAAGAGCAAAATCTTATATCCAATAAGCCCGAAAAACAAAATCTTATATCCGATAAGCAAGAAGAGCAAAAACTTATGTCGAATATGCCAGAAGAGCAAAATCATATATCGAATAAGCCAGGAGAGCAAAATCATGTATCAAGTAAGCCTGAAGAGCAAAGTCTTATATCGAATAAGCCTGAAGAGCAAAGCCTTATATCGAATAAGCCCAAAGAGCAAAGTCTTAAAAGAAATAAATTTGAAAAAGATGATATCACGAATTATATTCAAGTAGAAGAAATAAATGAACATAGTCATTTCCTTGCAGATGAAATAAAATTGGTAATGCTATTATTATTATGAATTATTGTAAATCTGTTTCTGTCCTTTTTTTCTTTTTTCCCCCATTAATAATATAGACTTTTCTTTTCTAGTTACATAGTTCTATAAATGTTAATATGCAACAAATGTCAGACCATATCATTTCTCCTCAAAGTCATTACTTTACTCAAAATATCAAATTATATGGAGAAATGTTGCAGGAAGTAACCAATTGTTTTCTTGCACAAATTGTTCGTCACTCTGCTATTCAAAAATGTACAAAGGACTGTATAAATATATTAGATGCCTGCGAAGGTATAAAATTACCTAAACAATCAGGCACAATTGAAGAAAATTGGTCGCTACAACTCGATCAAATACAAATTTATAAAGATAAATTATCTACTTATCAGAAGACGTTGCATAAAGAGCAATTGAAATTAATAGCAGATAGACAATGTTTTATTAAGATACAGAACCAATTTCAAAAGATATTTTCTGATTATAATTCCATTTTGTACGAGTTACAAATGATGTCGGAAGAGAACATTAAATTAAATTTAATGAAAGATAGTATCTCTAAAGAAAATTCACAAGAAATAACTGAATTAAAGAAACAAAAAAATGAATATGAGCAAAAATACAACGAAATTAAAACTATTCTAGAACAAGAAAGAGAAACCTGGAGCGAGCAAAAAAAGTTATTTGATAATCTGAAAAACAGTTGGGGTATGGAATTGAAATATCTGATGGAACAAAAAGAAATGCTCTTTAGTTTACAGGGGGAAAAAGAATTAGCGTGCAAACAATGTCAATTACACGAGAGTAATAAAAAACTTTTACAAACGGATAAAGAAACATTAGAACGTAATTATAAACAATTGACCACAGAGGTCGATGCTTTGCGTATTCAATTAGAAGAGAAAGAACGTACCCTTCAAAGAATTACTATGATCAAGGAAGAACTAGCTAAGGAAATAACAGTACAAGTAAGCAAATTTTACATTTATTTTATGTACAGAATGTTCAAAAAACCACTCAATATTTATGTATACAACATATGGAACACACTATACTAACAATGAGTAAAAATGTTAATAAACATTTTTGCATATTAGTATCATGATTGACTTACTAGCTTCTATTATCTCATACGATGTTTATCATTCAATTTTGAAAATTTAATTGACAATCAGTCTTTTATCAGCAGCAAGCAATAACATTACGCACATATTTTTTATTACAATTCGGTAATACACGATTACAAAACATAATGCTTAAAGTGTCAGTGTATTACTCTAATGAAGAAATGGCAGATATACATTTTATGTATGGTCGTGCTAATGGAAGTGCTTCAGCTGTACAACGTCTGTATGGAAAAGTTTCTTTATCAAAAAGTACCATCTCATACGATGTTTCAGAATCTTCACCCACGTCTTTATAAATCAGTCTCATTTAAAACTTGCTATCTAAACTCTGGCAAACCTAAGATCTATACAGATGCCTGATATGGAGAATCGCATTTTAAGGATTTTAGAAGAAAATCCTAGAACTAGCGTAAGAAGAATATCTGATGCCATAGGAACTTGTATTACTCTTGTTCGAAGAATGCTTCACGAACGGTTACTCTACCCATGTCATATCTAAATTTCATATCTTGCATTTTATTTACCGATGAAGCTTCATTTATACAAAATGGAATTGCAAATGTGTTCATAAAAGAATCCTCACTTACATTAATGTTAAACGTTTGAATGGACATTATGGGGGATTGGCTCATTATTCCTGTAATACTTCCAAATCGACTTTAAGGTGCTAATTATCTGAATTCCTTAATTAATACATTACGTCAGTACTTTGACGATAAGCCTTTGGCAGAAAGATTATTAACGTGGTACATGCACGACAAGGTTCCACCTCACTTTTTACATAATGTGAGAGAGCATTAAAAAACGATGTTCGGTCAAAGGTGAATTCTCCAATGTGGTGAACCAAATGCGTGACTTCCTCGATCATCTAATTTAAACCCTTTGGATTTTTTTTTACGACGATATTTGGAAAACAAAGTGTATTCTTCACCGATAATAGACCTTGAAGATTTACGAAACCAAATCCCCAATGCTTATGAAATGATCCAACGGAGATGTGAAATTGTCAAAAGAGTTTGTGGTTCTGTAAGAAGAATATGCCAAGCGTGTATGAAAATGGAAGGAAGACATGTGGAACACCTGCTGTAAATATCAAAAAGTCAGTAGTAAGTCAATCATGATGCTAACATACAAAAATGTTTATATCTCAGAAATGGTTGATCTTTCGACTTATGTTTATTAAAACTTTTTACTCAGTATAGTGTGATGTTTTATATGCTGTATATATAAATATTGAATGGTTTCTTTTTTAACAACCTGTATATTTTTCATTATATTTCTACTAATTAAAATGTTACCACGCATAAGATATCCATATGTAATCATTTGTAATTTTTTATATTATTTTTTATATATACAGAAAAACGAAATGGAAGTTTTGAAAATGCAAATTTCGTTTAACGAAGAAGATTTCAATTCTGAAAAGAAAATTAAAGAGCAACTATTACTTGAAAAAAGCGAACTACAGAGAGAATTAGAAACTGCTTATAAGAAAGTATATGCATGTCATTCAGATCCAGAATAAAAATCGAGTCTTTAAAGAGAAACAAAAATTTCTTGGTTGTGTCGAAAGATTGGAAAATGTGTTTTGGAAAAGCAAGTATTTTAATTTAATATTAATCTCTACCATGCCATAAATCTATTATTTATGCTGATTATAGTATAAATTTCAAATACTTGAATATCTTCTTTTTCTTCTTTTTATTAGGACTTCGTCCTGTTATAATAGCCTTTTTATTGCTATTTCCGGGAGCGCTTTATTGTTTTTACACCGAGGGTAGGTTGCTAGCCTCACCCTTAACTTGAATATATATGCAGTTAATAAATATAATGTTTAAAATATTCAATTTAATTCAAGTTTAAAGTTTCCTTCTTTATTAATTTAAAAAAAAAAATAATTGATCTGTGTCATAAGTAATACTATTTTAATATTTATAGATCAAACCATTTTGATTATACATTAGTTGTTTACACCAATGAAATAAAAGATTTCTTCTTTTATGTAATTTATTTAATATCTTTTTTTTTTTTAAAACATACCATTATATATTAGGTGGTTAACTTATTAATACCTACCATTTCTTCGTCCCTAAAATTCATGTCTTTCTAAGCAATATAAATCAAAGTAATTTCCTTCATATTCTATTACTTTTTCCTATCTCTCTGGCAACCCTTAAAAAATCCCATGATGATAGAATGCATTGATCTTCCGAGGCAATTTATTCATCGACCCATTTCTAGACTTGTTTGTTATTGAAGAACCCCGTATTCGTAAGTGCTTGTTTGCTGAATTGATCAGAGGAGATAATAATCCGATGGTGACAAGTATAAAGAAATTTTTTGCAACGCGCAGTCGAGCATTATCATGCAAATGATACGGACAGTCGTTTGTAGATTAACAACTCGTCACTCAATTAGCATTATTGCTGTTGGTAGTGATCAGCTACAGTTACAGTTTTATGAAAGTGTGAGCTCGTAAAAAGAGTTTGCATATCCTCCAAATGTAGAGCAAGCTCTTGTGATCGTGAATATTTCTCTTGATTGTTAAAGCAGATGCTTGGTCAATGATTTCCTTCGCTTGTAGTTATCAAAATAAATCCATATTTCGTCGCTAGTAAAACAATTGGAAATGGCATTTTCTGACAACTTGTGTGATAGTTATAGCCCTTCCTAAGGAATTTTTTCCATGTCCCCTGGAGTAATATTTAACACTTTCAACTATTCTAAAAACAGTTGAGCATTGAGCAATATTTGTTTACGTTATTTTTCTCTCATGTAAAAATCACAGTTTTAAAAGCATTTTGGCACGAAGACTGAATCTCTTTCAGCAATGTCTAAATTATAGAAGACTAATTTTACTGTCAATTAGCGAAAGACAAGAATTATATTAACCACCTAATATTTCCTAAGTAAAAGAAAATGTATTATCTTACAACTAAGATACAAGTTGTATTAGTTTTTAAGATTAGTTGTTAAATATTATCATATCTTTATTTTATTGTTTATTTTTGATAATACATTGGTAATATTGCAATATTAAATAAAAGTCATGTATGCATTATATGTGTAATATAATACAAATTCTGTGTGTATGCGTATATACATATTGTAATGTTATCTAAATATTCTTTCATTTCACTTACGGGATCCTATAAAATTCTAGGTACTGCAAAAGACAAAGAAATATATGCGTAAATAAAATGAAATGATAAATATTTTTCTTTTATAAGTATATTTAAGAACATGATAGTAAATGTACTATATGTAAACTAAATATCTATGGAAACAACAAATTTACAATTATGATTACGCATATTATATATATTATATTTATAATATATATACATATAAAATATATGTATTATATTTTATTAATTATTGTATACTCATAAAGTAGTAAATGAACTTCATTGAAAATATAAATTACATTATTTTCATTTCGTATTTATCTCTATCTATCTATCTACATATTAAATGCATAAAATGATGCAAAGATATATTTATTAATGTTTTTCTTTTAAATATAGCAGTATGTAAAAATATTTGCAATTTTTTACATTAACATATGTAAGAATTATAACGAGATTTGTAAAAATATTTGATTACATAACCCCATACCAAATAAAAGTAATTGGAAAAATAAATATTACTCTAGCACTAGAAACGCACAAGTGTAGCGATAAAGTAAAAAAAATAAAGTAATCCTGAATAACGCGCCATAACTGATATCATCATCATGGCATGAATGAAATCTATAAATGTGCATGCGCGCGAGTCTCTGCAAATTGCATTTTCGTAATGTAAAGCAAAGCATTACGTGACCAATAGAGCATCGATAGCTTTGAAGATACAACGTGCGGTAGCGCACTGTTCAGTGTTAAATATTCCGTCATTTTTATTTATTTTATAAAATATTTTATAATTGAAACGAGTACACACATAACATTTTTCATTTTTCTTCTTTAATATATTTTTCTGGTAGATACACTTGTTATACGATACATTTACGATAAGGATTTCTAATAATTTATTGTGTTTTTGTTCATTGACGAGTTCATACGTCTTCTGTGAAATACATCATAATATATGTAGTGTTATATGTAGAACAATCCCTTATTTAATTTCAAGTAAATCTATTATGTATATATGTATATTATTTCCTTGTACTATATATATTTTGTATAAATAGATAAACAATGACAATTAATAATATTTATTTATCTTTACAAATAAGATTATATATGCAAATGTTCTTTCTTTACAGGAAAGATAGATTATATGAAATTCTGTGAGATGTGACACATATATATCCATGGTTTAATGAACAAAATTATTATCATCGTTTCTTCCTATGTAAAATAATTAAAAATGTCTGAAAAAAATCAAACTAATCAACCGCAACCTATTGTCAAGATAGGTCATTATACGTTAGGACAAACTCTAGGCGTTGGTACATTTGGTAAAGTAAAAAGTATGTATATAGTTCAATTATTTATATAATGAAATATAATTAAGACTTGAAATTTATTCAATCGTTTGATCGAATTCTTCCAGTCGGTGAACATGTTCTTACAAAGCATAAAGTTGCAGTTAAAATTTTAAATCGGCAGAAAATAAAGAGTTTGGATGTGGTGGGTAAAATTCGACGAGAGATACAGAATTTGAAATTATTCAGGCACCCTCATATTATTAAATTGTAAGAGAAATAATTGATTTCTTATGAATATTATATGTCAAATATATTACATGTCTTTTTTATCAATTGCGATATACAGATATCAAGTCATAAGCACACCAACGGATATATTTATGATTATGGAATATGTCTCTGGAGGAGAATTGTTCGATTACATAGTAAAACATGGAAAATTGAAAGAGCACGAAGCACGAAGATTTTTTCAACAAATTATTTCCGGCGTTGATTATTGTCATAGACACATGATAGTTCATCGTGATTTAAAGCCAGAGAATCTTCTCTTAGATCATAATCTTCATGTAAAAATAGCAGATTTTGGTATTTTTTTTTTAGTCATTTGTCTTTATGATGATTATAATATTAGTAACAAAGGAGAAAGTATATCGCATATAATTTATGTCAATTTAGGTTTATCAAACATGATGATGGATGGAGAATTTTTACGTACATCCTGTGGTTCCCCCAATTATGCTGCACCTGAAGTAATATCTGGAAAATTATATGCCGGCCCTGAAGTAGATATTTGGTCATGCGGAGTTATATTATATGCTTTACTTTGCGGTACATTACCATTTGATGATGAACACGTGCCTACGTTATTTCGTAAAATAAAATGTACGTATTATATATTATTGTTCGTCATTATTTTAAACTATTAAAAATAATATATATTAAATATTTCTTTTTTACAGCTGGAATTTTTCCTATACCGGAATACTTAAATAAGAGTGTTGTTAGTCTACTATGTCATATGCTTCAAGTTGATCCTATGAAAAGAGCTACCATTGAAGATATCAAGTATACATTTTTTTTAATAAAAACTATATTATTTTTTATTCAAAGAGATATAATATTAATATGAATAATATCTTATAAATGACATACTCTAACAAGATAAACATCCTGATTACAGAAAACACGAATGGTTTCAAAAAGATTTGCCATCATATTTATTCCCATCGCCTGTAGAACAGGATTCTTCTGTGATCGATATAGATGCTATTAATGAAGTTTGCGAAAAGTTTAATGTGAAGGAAGCAGAAGTTCATTCTGCTTTACTTGCTGGCGATCCACACGACCAACTAGCAATCGCTTATCATTTGATCATTGATAATAAAAGAATTGCTGATGAAGCTGCTAAAGCAGAATTGAAAGACTTTTATGTAGCATCTAGTCCACCGCCAGTTACGTTTAGTCCAAGCGATGCTAACAACAGTCCTTTAAGACCTCATCCGGAAAGAATTGCTCGTGAGTAAAGAATCTTATTTTCATATCTTTTATAATTTATATTTAAATAACGGACAATTATTATAATACTATATTACATTGTTTTAACATAGCATTAAGAGAACGACAGTCCTCGCTAAGCTCATCCGTGTCAATGCAAGGGAATAGAGGTACACCAGTAAAACGAGCAAAATGGCATTTAGGAATAAGATCGCAGTCTAAACCAAATGATATTATGAATGAAGTTTACCGTGCAATGAAGGCACTTAATTTTGTAAGAACTAATTTGATATTACATAATTTCATTATTTACATGCTTAAATTGATTAAATAATCTTTTATTAGGAATGGAAGATAATAAATGCGTACAGCGTTAAAGTTAGACAAAAAAATCAATTAACTAGCAGATATAGTAAAATGTCATTACAACTTTATCAAGTCGATTGTAAGAGTTATCTGTTAGACTTTAAATCTTTATCCAGTGAAGAAGCAGAAGATATTTGCAGAGGTATACTAAAATATGTTACTTAAATTAATTGAGACTTTATTAATGAGCAATGTTATAATCTATTTATACTTTAGATCCTTCTTTGCCGCCACCTCAAGCAACCGGTCATCATACCATGGAATTTTTTGAAATGTGCGCTGCGTTAATTACACAATTAGCACGGTAAACAAATTTCTGTTACATTATCTGTTTTACGTTATTTTCGATATTGATCGAGAATATCTTCTTTAACTGTTTACAAGTTATTATTATATAATATTATGAAATTTTTAGACCACAGAGATATATGTATATAGCAAAAAATGAATAGTTCCTTTATTCTATTATATATCAGTATTTTCAAATCTTTTTAAAGAACCACTAAATTTGATTATATTTAATATTATATTTGATTAATGATGAGATATTTTTGTCTCTACTTTCGTATATTGTAAGTATCAAAATTAATGAAAATATGAAGTAATGATTAATTTTAGATATTAATCAATACGAAATTTATATAACGCTTTATTTAATTCAATTCAATTTAATATAAGCATGATAATTTAAAAAACAAATTTTATTGTCTGATGTATCTATCTCATTTATTGATATATGCAATGATGGAATAATACATTATAAATTTTATGTTATTGCGCTATACTTACTTACCTACCTACCTTATACAGCATTAATCTATCAGTACATTTGTTTGCTAATAAAGCATTAATTTATTATAAACAAAAATGAAATATGTTTGTGTATGTTTAGAAAAATATACATTACATATTATATCTTATCATATATCAATTGTTTTATCTAGGTCATCGTTCACTAGATATAAATCGTTGTTTTATAACAAAAAGTTTGGCATCAATTTCTTACTGTAATTAATCAATGCAATATGAGATAATTTAACAAATAAAGAAAAACTATGAAACATTTTTCAAATTGTAAAACTATAATCTCTCTCTCTCTCTCTCTCTCTTTTTCTTTATATATATATATATATATATATATGTTTTTCGTACACTCAAGTATGCTTAAAAACATAAATGTTAACATGTATATATGTATAATAACTTAAAACGAAAATACACGTGTTAAGCACCGTGTCATATTAAAATTATGATGATTAAAAATAAAGTTTGTACACAATGGCACATTTTTCTTATTTCAATTTATACATTTATATTTTCACAATCATGATGCTGCCTGAAAAAAAGTGCTCAGTGCGTCCTGATTTAGCTACTAATTCTTAATTCTTAAACTAAATTGATATAAAATATATATTTACCATATATACCACACATATACTAATTGTATATATTATATATAATGAGTCCTAGGAGTATTCATGCCCATTCCCCCACTGTAAATTTTAAATAATTTATATTTGCTTATAATGCAAAACTTAAAAATTTGTATACACAAAAACCTATTTTTTAGGATTATTAAACTTTTAAATTGATATAAATTTTATTGCAGGAAAACATTTTTTTCTCAGTTATGGTAAATTATACTTCTGTTATAATAAAATGCTCTTTTGCAATAAAATTTATATCAATTTAAAAATTTAATAATCCTTAAATATGTTTCTGCTTATAAGAATTTTGAGATATTATACTACAAAAAGATATTGATTGTTCTAAATTAACAGTGGTGATGCGAATACTCTTGGGACTTACTATATATAATATATTGGTATATGCTATAGTAGATTATTTGAAATTATATTCATATTAAGCAAAAGGCTCCTCAGTATCCAGCTGTAGAGTCTATATTGACGCATTCATACGCCTCATTCATACCATATATAAACGCATATTTCTCGGTAACAATAATTAGCGCATTACAAGCGGTAGTTGTATGAATAGTACCACAGGAATTTTCTTTTGTATTCCTTTCTTTTCTACTTACAGCCAAATGAGTAGAAATTTTATTTAACTCAAAATCAAAATTTCGTTTCAGTTTATATTATAATGCCATGTAAAGTGAAATTCTAGTACATTTGAAATACGATAAATACAATATTATCGAATCGAATTTTCTTTTATCTATTCAAGATGTTCTCATATACATCAATTTCGTTCGTTGATACAGTACATTAGAAATATTATTTATTTTTTAATACTGTAAATGCTTTTAGGAAGAACATGGTCATTTATTGTATGATGATGGAAATATCAAATGCCTCCTAAGAAAATAAATTTTATATAATATATTGTGCATGTGTCTTATAGCATAAATTCTCTTGATGTCATAAAAAGTAAATTATATTCTTATAATTAGGAACTTTTAATTTTTGAGATATATTAAAGCAAATATTACGGCAATAATGTAAAAACCCACGCAAATTTACATTTAAAAAGATAAAAAAAAAATATATATATAATATTTAATGCAATTCATGTTTCCATCATTAAATACATTTTTCATCATTAGTGTATCATTGTTTGAGAACGTGATCTATGACTAACAGTAAGCAGTGTACAATGTATGTACCAACACAAAGATATTTTGGATACCTCTAAACAAAATTTCACATTTAAATATATTTTAGCGCATAAAGTATATAATAAAAGATCTTCTATTATCTATACATAATATTATATATCTATACATAAATTCTATTCTTTTTAAACTTCTTTTTAAATACCATAAAAAAAGATTTTATAATATTAACATCGTTATCCAAAGTTTTTATCCAAAATTTATTTTATACTATTTATATTATATTTTGTTTAGATATTTGATATATTGTGAATCAATAGCATTTAATATAATAATAAAATACTTTTGTTAAATGACTCTTGCAACAGTCATTAAACGACTAAAAAATACATTTATACATTAAATGTAATAATTCATGGAAAAACTTAGATATTAACGTAAGAGAAATATAACTTAATAATATACATACATTTTATTTCATATAAACCAGTCTAAAAAACAATATAATATGACTCAATAATGTACTTTAATTACGAATTTAATATGCAAGTTGCTTTTTACCCAACAATAGATATAAGCTTATTGTAAATTCTTTCTATAATTTAACTTTATAAACAATTGTTTTCATTTATTATCAACCATTATCAGGGTATTATTTAAATATCTTTTAAGAGCGCACATAAATGTAAATGTAGATGTATCTATGCATATGTGAAATTATTTGGATATATTGAGTTTAAATAGTGTTTCTATGAATTTAAATACTAAAAATTAATATTGAAAGATTAAAGTTTTAATTTAATATAAAGCATGTGTCTATTTATACAAATATGAAGCGCATATATAAGTTTTAGTTTTAACAATTGGTAGATTGTTTCAAGCGGTCTTTATTCTCTATGATTCCGTTTCTTTTCTCTTACAAATGTGTGTGTGTGTGTGTGCGCATATGCATATAACTGTTCTTGACTCGAGAAAAAAATACCCAAAAATCAATATTGCTTTCATGACTATAGAAGTGTAAATCTCTGTATTGGTACATAAAATAGCTGCAATACTAATAAATTGAGGTGATAAAGTGGTCTTCATTGATCACATATGCTGTACATTACTTGAAAGATTTATGTTAAATTTCTTGGTTGTCTTCACCAGTTTCATTATCTACAAATTCTACATGTGTAAATGGAAAATGACCTACTTTGCCATGTAATTCACCTTCCCATTGGCCATTTATATTTGTTTTTGTTACCTTTATCATGTCACCTACTTCTAATTTTAGAGCTGTTTTATCATATGCATTTGGCACTCTTGCTTGTTTCACTTTTGCAAAAGCAGGTAATGTTCTCTGAATATTTGATCTACGTGTAGCAGTACCTGATCCTGTTTCTGAGTGAGATACTACGTGTGATAAAGAAGGAGGAATTGAATTGGAATTAGATGCAGAAGTATTGCTACCTGATTCCAATCGTGTATTATTTTCGGTATTAGCATGACCATCCTCTTCATATTTTTGCACGTAGGGAACTGGAACTGATCCAGTTTGACCCACACTATTCCTAGCTGTCCACCACTGCTCTTCGTCTTTTGAGATCACAATAAGAATTTCTCCTATAATATTACAAGAATAACACGTTATATTTCTTATTTAAAATTGAACTATAATTGATCATTTAAAAAACGTAAAGATAAATGTACCCTTTCTAAATGGCAAATCATCTGGATCGTTACCCTCAAAATCATATTTCGCAATTACTTTTTGAGTTTTTTTTGGTGCAGGTCTGATCAACGGCGTTGTATCAAGGTAATGAAGTTTGTAAAATGCCAAAAGATGTGGAATATCAGGAAACATTTGATCACCAATTCGATAACATATTTGATCACCCTGTAGTATTTTATTAATTATATAATGACTAACTTTGCTATCTTCTCGAACGCAAAGAACAAAGTCTCCATGGATAGATGTACTATCACGTACTAAGAAAACTCCACCTTCTTTTTCTCCCATTAATAAATCAGAAGCATCTTGGCGTGACATAGCACCAAAGTACCAACTACAAATAAAATTGATTCATTGTCATCCATATATTGTTAACATTATTATATTACATCTTGAGTGTAATAACAATAATAATAAAACTTGATATATTTAAACTGTCATACATTCAATCAAGAAAGTTATTATTAAATTTATAATACGTTTTATTAGTTATGCATTTAGTTATTAAAAAGTTTATCTCTTACTCAACCTTTATTTTAAGCGTGGAATAATATTGAAATCTTACACATACCTGGTTTTATCATACTGATCAAATGTACCAGCCATTGTTCTCTAGTTTAATTGTACTATTGTACCGAGAAGTAGTCTTAATTACTATTTAATCCTAATGCATTGCGAAAAGAATCACTTGGAGCGTCACATAAAATCATGTATAGCAGAGAAAATTATACACAACTAAGTGATTCAGAGTCATGTAATTTAACAAATGATGCCAATGCGATAATTAAATAAGAATTTAATTATGGAATAATTATGTGTTTATATATATGTATATTTCTTTTGTGAAAATTATCAATTTTCTTAATAAGTTCGACGCTTATTTATAAACAACACTTCGTTATCAAATGTTTTCCATATGAATTCGTACAGCACAGAAATGTCACGGGCATGTTTAACATGAACATGTTCAGATGTTACACTCAATTACGTTTAACTCATTGCGATATTCAAGTTGTTTTGTTTTTCTTTTCTTTTTTTCATGCAAGTGTTTTTCTTCTCACTATTGTATAAATTGTATAACGATATTTAGCATTAAAAAGATTATAACAAATAAATTATATTATAATAGCAATCTTAAAAAAAATGGTTGCCACTGCATACTATACTTTTGAAGCAATTTCTAATAGGGCTACATATATACAATGCCGTACGACCAATAAAAAAAGTAAGGCCGTTGTATAAACCAATGACCAACAATTTTAATAAAGAAAATCATTTTTATTATATATATGAAGTATTATATTAATAGAGAAATTTTATAATTTTAAAATAAATAAGATTAATAAATGTTTATTGTCAATTTTATTAGCTTTAAGAAATGATTTTGAGTTATCATAAAAGAAATTTAATGTTAATTTATTAATTTGGTAGTACTGCAAGATTAAAGATAGCTTAGAATATAACGCGCGAAATTGAAATGAACTTATTGATATTTATTGAAAAAGGTCTTATAATTATATAAAATATAAATTTGTTAATATTTTAGATCACAGATTATACGAAACAACATTAACTGCAATAAGAAGATCTAGATTTCGTTTATGCTCTATTCGTCCTATTGACAGTGAATACGATTTGGAAATGCGTCATGAATAACGTTGACGTCCATTTCCCTTTGATTAGCCCTATATTTCTAATTGGTTTTTCGTTGTTGTATTTAAGTAATTAGGTCAAAACGTCATGATATATAACTAGTGATACGACTAGGGATATGATTAAGGATACAACTAGGAATAATACTAGTGATAACCTCGAGACACGCTGCCGATAGGAAAGTGTCTCAAATTTTGTGTTATAGAAACTGTCAAACTTCTGAGAGATAAATTTTTATATTATATTTGATATTATATTAATAATTATTAGGAAATGATGTCAGAACGAGATTATGCGCCATTAAGTGCAGCATGCGTTCGTTCTTTGAACGACAAAATTTATGAAAAGCGGAAAGCAGCTGCTTTAGAAATAGAAAAGTGAGATTATATTTACTGTATGATTTCTTTGACCGATATGCTAAAATGATCGTTTATATGATTTACAGAATGGTCAAGGAATTTGCTGCTCACAATAACACCGTTCAAATAAAGAGATTATTAAAAGTGCTTGGTCAAGATTTTGCAACTTCACAAAATCCACATACAAGAAAAGGAGGTTTAATAGGACTAGCAGCTATAGCTGTTGGTTTGGGAAAAGACACTGGACAATATATCGAAGATTTAATTCATCCAATAATAGCATGCTTCTCTGATTCTGACTTGAGAGTTAGATATTATGCTTGTGAGAGCCTTTATAATGTAGTCAAAGTAGCTAGGGGTGCGGTGTTGCCTCAATTTACAGATATTTTTGCAGCTTTAAGTAAATTAGCATGCGATTCGGAGCAAAATGTCAAATCTGCGACAGAGTTACTCGATAGGCTTATGAAGGTAATCATTATATTTTGTTTAAATATATTATTATTATATTTAATATATTTCATAGTATAATTACATGCAGATTTCATATGTTTTTTATTCTAGGATATTGTAACGGAAAGTAGTGTGTTTGATTTAGTTGGTTTTATGCCACTTTTAAGAGAACGCATTTATACTAAAAATACATTTGGTAGACAATTTGTTATAGCATGGGTATCTGTCTTGGATGCTGTACCCAATATGGATTTCATTATATTCTTACCTGAAATACTTGATGGATTATTTAGAATTTTAGAGGATCCAACACCAGAGATTAAAAAGACAACAGATACAGTTCTTGGTGAATTTTTACGTAGCATCAAATCGAATCCAGCGAGGGTAGACTTTTCAGGAATGATTAATATATTAATTACTCATGCTCAAAGTACCGACGAGCTACTACAATTAACAGCGATAACTTGGATTAAAGAATTTGTACAGCTCTCTGGTCCAGTTATGTTACCATACATGTCTGGAATACTTGTGGCTGTTTTACCATGTTTAGCATACGATGGAGATACAAGAAAAAATATTAAAGAAACTGCAACTCAAGTTAATACAAATTTAATGAAATTAATAATGATGGAAAATTCAGATGTTTTAAATAAAGGTTTAATTAATGAAAGTAATACTAACTCTGCTAAGGAATCTAAAGGTACTATTTACAATAACAGCTTAATAGCAATTAATACACGTATAAATTGCAATGATACATTTTCTTTTCAGATGGTAGCCAAAGTTGTTCTCTGGCTGAAAGTTTAGATTTGTCTAGTTTGGTAGAAGTGCTCACCAAACACTTAATGTACATGTCTGTTCAAACTAAAGTTGCCGTTTTAAAATGGCTTTATCATTTGTTTACAAATATTCCACATAAAATGTTTGATCATATAGAAATATTGTTTCCAATTTTAATGAGATCTTTGAGTGATAATTCTGACGAAGTAGTACAACAAACTTTAGTTGTAATGGCCGAAATAATAAGTTCTAAATCTTCAGAAGCAATTACAATTGATTATCGTGATGAAGTGCAAAATAAATATTTTACTAAGTTTATTGTCAATTTATTAAGACTATTTTCAACTGACAGACACTTATTGGAAGAAAGAGGTGCTTTTATCATAAGAGAATTGTGTGTATTACTCAGTGCTGAAGATATATATAAAACATTAGCAAAAATATTGTTATACGAAGAGAATTTAAGTTTTGCATGTACTATGATACAAACTTTAAACATTATTTTGCTAACAAGTTCTGAATTATTTGATTTAAGAAATAAATTAAAGGATTTGGATTCTTCAGTAAGTATATAAATAGGATAAATGTTGTAAGTATATATTGTTTGTAATTATAACTGATATAGTATATAATGTCGTATCTAGGAAAGTTGTGATTTATTCCAATGTCTTTATGAATCTTGGTGCCATAATCCAGTTGCAACTGTAGCTTTGTGTCTCCTATCACAACTTTATCCCCATGCACTTAATATTATCAAATCTTTGTATCCTTCATTATATATCGATTATAATTGATATAATTGACACGCTTATACGATAATATTTTTCTTAATTTTATATCATCTAGCGAAAATATCGAAGTTACTGTTGAATTTTTGACGGAAATAGACAAATTAGTACAACTTATTGAATCACCTATATTTACGTGTAAGTACATTATGCATTATATGTACATTGAACATTAATACACGTTATTACATATTATAATGTATTACATATAATCTATATTTTTCTCTTTTAAGATTTGCGTTTACAGTTATTAAATAGGGAGGACAATATTGACTTAGTTTATGTATTGTATGGTTTGCTAATGATACTTCCTCAAAGTGAGGCGTACGCAACTTTACAGCGACGACTATCTGCAATTCCTCCAGCAACAAAATCATTGAGTCTTAAAAATAGTAAAGTATCCAATAAACGACAATTGAACTTTATTAATCTATTATATCATTTTCATGATATTCAAGACAAACACAAAGAACATAAACATAAACAGAGATTAACTTCACTAATTGAAAGAAATACTAATCAAGTTGATTTATGAAATTATAATAAGTAGTACAGAATGTAAAATATATTCAGTTATTCATTTTTAATATGTTTACAAAGCTCTGTTAATTTTTTTATTGAACATATTATTTATCGATGTAAAAAGAATCACTTTTTACATTCACTTCAATCGTATTATTATATTATACATTACATTAAATATATATATTATTTTCACACAATTAACACATATAAATTTGAAATAAATAATTCATATATAAAATATATGTGGAATATGTAAATTGTACTTTTACTGAATCTATGATAAGTTATTTATTGCTCCTCTATTTTATATTAAATAATATATTCAGTCTTTTTTTCATAACATTGTCTAATATTTTTATAAGCTGACGAACATGTTTTTAACATTTTGAATAAGTTCGGGGTTGTTAAGTTGAATTAAGATTTCTTAGAGAGAATGTATAAAAGAAATAATCTATAATTAGGATCTTATTTTTGTGATTCAATTAAAAAAAAAGTTTAAAAATAAGACTTATTATAGATAGTTCCTAAGATAGTTATTAAATTTTAAATATTCATTTAAATATCTCATATTCAGGGTCTTCTGCATTTTCTAATATATCCATCGTCGATAAATGATCAAGTTGATCTATTAAACGTCCATTATCATAGAGAATTACAGTTATTTGTTCTTGCAGATCACAAATCTTTTTCCATTTTTTTGTACTTTCTTCAGCAGGTGTATTTGCTTTTTCATTCGTTTTAAATATCCCCTGAAGCTCATCCAACAAATTGAAAAGACTATCATGTCGTTCTTTGCTTTCTTGAGAAAGTCTATAAGAATAAGACTCCAGGGTAATTTCATAATTACTTACGTCTTTGTCTAAAATTTGAGCTTGTAGAAATACAGTCTGTGCCATTTTATACCAATCAGCGACACATTCAGATCGTTGAGTCATTGCTGGTATACATTCTGTTTCGAGAAGTAATTTTATTCGACGACCTGTCTCCATTACCTATACAAAATGTAGAATTAAAGCAGAGTAATAATTATTTTGTTTTTCTTTAAAAATGTGGCATTATATTAAATATATTAATAATACCTTTATACGTTCTAAAACATGAAATTGCTCATCATTATAAGTAAGACTACGTGTAGCCCTATCTCTTAATAAATGTTGCCAGCCATCCCTTAAACGATCGACTAAAGTAGTAGCACGCTGACTTGCTTTTGCACTCCATGGGCACCAAAGGCCACGCGTACTATTTTCCCATTCTCCGTGTAAACTACCTCCTTGTATATATCTGAGAAAATTATAGGAATGCAATATAATGTATTAATAAATATAATAATCTAGCATACCTCTGATGGAGTTGTGCAACTGCAGGTGCTAGTTCGGTAAACAATTCTTTACTCTTTAAATCTAATTCCTTTTTCCAATTTTTAGGCTCAAAGCTTACTTGATTGGCGTATTTTTTGAGTACTTGTCTTGTGAAATTTTCACTTCTTTCTATAGCTATTGCAGTTACTTCTGTTGCTTTAGTAAATTCTTTCAAATGTTGGCACTTTCCTAATACCTTATTAAGTTCTGTAGCTAAAAGTCCGCTAAAAGCTTCTATTGCGTTTTGCATTAATTTACTGCATAATGATAATTTATCAATTCTGCGCTTACAAACATGTCCAACCGAACATGCCACTTTTGCTTGACTAGCATCATTTTCCACAGAAACCAGGTTTGCAAAAACTGGAAATTTCGGTAATTCACTTTCCATCGGTAAAATAACATTATTGTTTTCTTTCGAGAATAACATAAGAGGCTTATCGTCATCTATGTTTGGATACCCTTTTCCGGGTGTAGATTCTTCAACAAAATTAGTAAGGGGCATTTCACCGAATAAAAGTATTTGAGCATGTGGCGGGATTTCTGTTTGATCTTGGATGTGAGCCTGAAGTGCTATAAATTTTTCTTCAGGGTGTAAAAATACTTTAATTAGGCTGGCTTTATGTACATTAAATATATAAATCGGTTTTCTACATAGAGTATCTGTAACTTCAGTAAAAAATCTTTCAAAATTCCATATTCTCTGTGGATCAACTTCCAATAAGCCAGCTAATAGAGGAGTTACTATTTTCTTTAAACCATCACTTAATTGACAATTTTGAGGTAATTCTTTGCTCCATTCTATGGGACCATTTTCTGAAGTTTGCATACCGGATATAACTCCGGAAGCTTTTTTAGTTGTTATATAAAACATTGTCTCTTTGTTTCTACGTCCACCAAATGGCCTGAACGGTAGATTTCCCGTTGCAACATGATATAGGGTTACTCCTATAGACCATAGATCAACAGTCGCTCCAAAAGTTTTGCCAAAAGGTTTTCGCAAGACTGCTCTTTCATACATATCTGGATGTAAATATTCTTCAGTACCATAGAGAGATACAAATTGTTGATCCTCTTGCAATTCTCGTGCAGCACCAAAATCAGTAAGTTTATAAATCGTACTACCATCATCAGCAATAAATTTCATAATATTACCTGGAATAAAGTAAACGTTTAATAAATTTATATTTGCTTAAACTTGTGTCAGCAAGAATTAAAGATACGCATATAAATATAGTACAAATGTAGTTTTTCTTCAATCTTCTACTTGATATATATCTTACCTGGTTTTAAATCACGATGTACTAAATTATTATCACGTAAATGTTTCATTCCTGCTGATAGATGTTCTAAAACTAATAAAAATTCGTTTTCTGCAAGACCATAAGTATTTTCTGGATCGTCTAATATATTGAAAAGACTGCCTCCTGTACAAAGCTCCATAACAATTACTTTTCCACGTCCATCTTGCTCTTCTTCTATTGCTAGTAGTTTAACAATATTCTCATGTTTAACTTTCTTTAATACTTCGAATTCTCTCATTTGTACATCATGTGGACGCATATGACTAAGTTGATTGAAAGTTTTGACTGCTACAGGCTCCCCATTGTTTTTATTAACTCCTTGAAACACTGCACCGGTTGCTCCTTTTCCCAATACACTGGTCGTACACCAAACATAATTTGCAGATCCTCGTAGAAAAGACATATTGGTCTGATTGATTCGATCGAGCAAAAGATTATTTCTTTTTATTTATAATTTCTCACACTATCTATCAACATTTCTTATCTACACATTTAACAATATTTAACTTTGTTATGAATATAATCTACCATTTCGCTTAATTACTAATAATAAACAAACTTATTTACTTGATTATTTTATATTACATCATTTACAGTATTATATATATGTACTTTTATTTATAATTTAAAGGAACATGAACTAACATCTGTAAAGGTACCAAAATTACCTAGTAAATCACGGTTTATAAATTTAACGATAAAAATATGTACTAGTTCGAAATATGCATTGTTGTTTGTCGATAAAACAGTTTCCGATTAATATTGATAAATAACGTCCAGCATGTGAAAGATTGAAAAGTGCAGAATCTATCACGCAGAGGGGTTCAAAATTTTGTCATACGATTTTGGAAAGAAATGTACTATGTCTACTATCTTCTTAGGGTGCGTTCCACTAAGCGCTCACAACGATCACGCTCACGACCACAGTTTYTCCCGTTYCACTTASCTACGAGCGTTACTGTCGTAAATTCAAGTGGAATGGACTATGGTGCGTTTTGAGCGTGGAGGTAATAATACAAATGGCGAGGTAGTGAAAAGAAAGTAAAAGA